GGATACATTGAATTCCATTTATGGACGCTAGATTTTATATTACATTTCTTCCAATCGATTATCCGATATTATTATTTCATATTCCCTATAAAGATATTTCTCTGTAACAGAAACTGATTAATTGAATCCACATACAGACAAAGAAAAATTAAAAGCTGGAAAGAAGATACATTAGTAACAATAAAATTTTATAAAAGTCAGAGTGGTTGTTAATAATTCAAAATCAATTTGATACGAAATATGAATTTAAAGCAAACATCAATACCAAAGTAAAGAGAAAAAATTCAGATAAATATATATTTGAGTTGAGTGATTTGAGTTAAGAACATTAATTATTTCATTTTATTGTATTTAATATTCGTTCATTTCGCGACAAATAGCACACAATATTTTAATTGAAACAACTGCCTTTTACTGCAATATATAGTACGAACAACCACGACTCTACTCGACTTTATTGCATTATATTATTCAATACACTTTTCAATGCAAATTTATTGTAAATGGAAAAACTGAAAAGAAAATCACCAGTGGACTTTGCTTTTGAGGAAAAGAATTTGAAAATTTATAAAAGTAATTTAATTAGCTTCTCCGTAAGCTTGAAACAAAACATCGCGATCAAAAATTAAAACTAAACAACTCGAACAACAATTATCCACTACTTTTGTTTAAATAAAGTAGAATTAAAATAATAAGCTATCTCGAATGAACAAATATTCCTTGAAATAATTTATCACCAATCATCACAAAATAAAATGAACTTTCATTTTAAATAGAACTTTGAATAAAGTTCTATTTAAAACTTTATCGTATTTAATAATAATCTGAAAACATTAAATTCATATATTATTTAACAGTATTTCCAACAAACGAATGCTCAAAATTTTCAAAAGGGAAGAAAAAAGAATGAGGGCGGGGCAGGGTACAGGGGAACCTGAAAAGAAAAGTTTGACTGCCCATAAGAGCAATCCCTAAGCAAACCCTATAAAACAAACCGAAATCACACGCAACACTAATTGTAAAATTGCAAACATTCTGAACTATGACAAAACATCGGCTGGCAACGAAGGGTTTCACGCCCCCTAGACTTACGCCAGACGCTACATACCACCCACCCCGCCTGGACGTCGTAACGCCAGGACAGAGTGCACCCCTTCGCTAAGAGCGCTACCCGCCCGTCCAACACGTTGCATCCAACGGTGTCAGATTGACGGACGCCCATAGTATAGACAAAAGGACTACAGTTTAGAATATGGTAACATATTTTCATATGTTCCGTATTCTAAAACTGCGCCTGCAAAGGCCTAGTAATGCATGGGTATATCTCCCAGAGATGGTGTTCACGGTCTTAGGCCGCGGAATCCAATGGATTCCCACCGAATGTGAGTCATAGTTACTTCCACTAATTTAATAAATGCAAAAAAGTAAAAAATTTAATAGCAATCGCGAATTCATTCGCAACACTAATTTCATTAATTATATAATATGTACAAAAGCGTACGCGTGAAGGCTGCTCCATTATACGCAACACTAAGCTGAAAAAAAGAAAAAAAGAGAAAACGCGAACTGTAACGCAACACTACTCAAATCTACCGAATTTTGTAAGACGCAACACTAATCTAAAAAAAGGGTACAGCCAATCCAAGGCTGTACCACGGCAGCTGGTCCATAGCTGCCTTATGGACCATGGCAACTCCACTGGATCGTTTTGGGGCATTCCTAATGCAAAACGCGAATATTCATTACCACAACACTAATTAGCAGGGAACTCTATAAACTAATGTGAAGCAATCGCGTATTTATAAGACGCAACACTGGGAAACAATCGCGCTAATGTCATTCGCAACACTATCTTTAACAGACATGCAATTAAAATGCAGAAAAGGGGGATTCTCAAACCGTGAATTTTTTACTCGCAACACTAATTTCATTAATTATATAATATGTACAAAAGCATACGCGTGAAGGCTGCTCCATTATACGCAACGCTAAGCTGAAAAAAAGAAAAAAAGAGAAAACGCGAACTGTAACGCAACACTACTCAAATCTACCGAATTTTGTAAGACGCAACACTAATCTAAAAAAGGGGTATAGCCAATCCAAGGCTGTATCACGGCAGCTGGTCCATAGCTGCCTTATGGACCATGGCAAATCCACTGGATCGTTTTTGGGCATTTCATCATATATCGCAACACTAATGCAAAACGCGAATATTCATTACCGCAACACTAATTAGCAGGGAACTCTATAAACTAATGCAAAGCAATCGCGTATTTATAAGTCGCAACACTGGGAAACAATCGCGCTAATGTCATTCGCAACGCTATCTTTAACAGGCATGCAATTAAAATGCAAAAAAAGGGGATTCTCAAACCGTGAATCTTTTACTCGCAACACTAAAGCAATCAACATTAAAAAGCAAAACTCTCCAAAATCTTAAAGCAATCAACATTGAAAAGTTTAATTCTATTTTAAAGCAATGCAAGAAAGAAACCTGATATTTAAAGTTCGCAACATTAAATGAAAATCGCGATAATCATGCATACGCAACATTAAATTGAACCGTGATCGATATTCATTCGCAACACTAAATTGAACCGTGGTCAATATTCGCAACACTAAATTGAAAACGCGATTTGCCCAAAATCATGGGGGTCACGGGCCCCCTCTTGTCCTGAAATTACAAAACTACAACTACAGGCAAGCACAGTGACAAAGTAGTAACGATAATGATTTCCCATCCTTTTTTGCAAAAGGATGCAAAATCATTAGTAGTTCCCCTCTTGAAAGACAGTTTGTCGGGGCGCTTCGGCATATAGCCTTTTCTTTCTTCGGGCGGTCCACCCACCTGAAACTTATATCTAAAGCTCGAGACTTGCAAATTCGCAAAACAAAAAAAAAACCATCAACAAAAAAGAAATATCGCGAAATACTAATTGACACGTAGACGAAAAAGGACTTTATATAAGTCGTTGTTCGTGCACACGTGCCGTGCTCGAGCAGAACTTGTGCGTTTCGTGCTATCGCGATCGCGTATGACGACTTATGAAGTCGCCAAAAATTTGAAAAATTGTACAGATAGATCAAAGGCGAATGGCATACTCCATCCGTATCGATCGTATCGTCAATTCTTCAAATATATTCCAGGTACAGGTTAATCACGCGAAATCGCGCCTACCCGACCAAGATACTGTGACAACCTGTCCCGGCCCTACCTACTTACGATCTATCACACACACCAGAAGGTATACTACCTACCTACCTAACCCTATATTTAAAAACGGCAAAATCACATTCTCACAAAAATTCATTCCACGACCCCCATACACTCCACCCGGGCGCAACAGCCTAAACTAGGGAGAACGTCCCGGGACGCCTCCGTCACCCGAGTTTCATCTCACATCACACTCTACGGTACGTACCATTTTTCACTGAAATCGTCTGGCAAGGCTAGCAATCATTGCGTATAATGATAATTACAAAATTTAATTAACTACTTTGATGTAGAATATTTCATAATAATGGTAATAATCACGGTAATAGTAATGGCAATATAGTAATAGTAATGGTAATAATACTATTTAGTTTGTACGTTCATTGTACATCTTATTGAATAAAATATTATTTCAAATTAAAAGTTAAATGAAAAGGTTATTAAACCGACGCAATCCCACAGCCTAAAAACACACACACCATATGTGGAAATTACGTCGTGCACGATATACTAACACAATGCCAGCCGCTTATTAATTGTTATTCTTATGAACTAGGTCATCGTGCCCATTGCCTCTACCTATCCAAGTAGCACCTGGGCACGTGAATGGGCTTTGGCAATAAACACGGAAGGGGTTAAACCTGAAAATCCTGATCTAGAAACATGATTAGTACACAAACATCGAACGGACTAATATTTCACTATTTTAATAAAAGTGACTCGACTTTGTAAATATAAAGCTTTAAGAACAAATACTGAAAAGTAGAATTGAGCAACTATGACGCAAACATGGTGCACTGCTAATATCAGCTGGCAACGAAGGGTCTCACGCCCCCTAGACTTACGCCAGACGCTACATACCACCCACCCCGCCTGGACGTCGTAACGCCAGGACAGAGTGCACCCCTTCGCTAAGAGCGCTACCCGCCCGTCCAACACGTTGCATCCAACGGTGTCAGATTGACGGACGCCCATAGTATAGACAAAAGGACTGCAGTTTAGAATATGGTAACATATCTTCATATGTTCCGTATTCTAAAACTGTGCCTGCAAAGGCCTAGTAATGCATGGGTATATCTCCCAGAGATGGTGTTCACGGTCTTATGCCGCGGAATCCTTGTAACTAATTTGATTAATTAAATAATAAAAAGGATTGAGTTTAAAAACCAAAAGGATTCCCACCGAATACTAGTCAGTGCATCGTCATATTTACTCTCGCGTTGGAAATTTCTCGCAACACTAATTTAATAAAGGCAAAACTCTAATAAAAAGGAATTTAATGTCAAAATTGAATTTGATATTTTATTAAAAGCAAAATAACTAATTAAGAATTCTTTACAATGAAAAAAGAATTTATTATGAAAATTAATAAAAAATTAAAACATCCTCGGGCGACTCCCTCATCAGAGTAACTTTTCAAGAATACGCAAAATGTGTTGAAATAGATCACTCTGACTTGGAAATCTACCCGTCACGAATTGTCTTCTTGCACATAAATTGTTCAATTTTACATGAAATGAATTGAACTTTACTCCTCGTAAACAGGTCTCAAATTATATTTGAATTTACAATGTACAAAATGTAATGAAATCAATGTAAAATCATAATTAATATGTATATTCAGTATACATATTATATCACCAATAAAAACTGAATAAAATTGTTTCTATATTAAAATATTTCATATTCCACATTTAAGAACATTTAAGAACATTTAAGAGCATTCATATATTTCATAAATATCTATTGGAATATGTGGAATTGAAATGATATTAAAACGCGGTGTACAAGAAGACCTAGCCTGAACTAACTAAATGAAATGAAACAATAAAAATGTTACTACACATGGGTATAATCATACCCATGGTCACTATGCTTGCCAACCAAGTATACAACCGGTAACCCGTGTCGATTCGGACCATTCGTCCTACGACATGATTGGGCACCGGAGGAACCATAAAACATGCGACTCACCGTTCGCAGATATACTCTTCTTCCGACAGTCAAACACCAGGTAGCAGGCTGCCTTGTAGGAGAAGACGGAAGTCGTGAAGAAAGCTGTTCATCTGTAACAAAAAAAGAAGAATTACGGTTAATTTTGAAAATTATCAATTTTTATTCTAATAAAATTATATATGAAATTTAATTTTATAAAATATTAACAATTAAAAAGAAATCTCAATTATCAAGTGTTGAAATTGTAAATTATTCTATTTTAATAAAAAGCAATTAAGTGACGTACCAAGGCGGAAGTCGTGAAGAAAGCCATCATCAGGATATCCAGGAACTCGGCAATCAAAAAATTCATCTGTAACAAAACAAAAAAGAATTACGGTTAATTTTACAAATTATCAATTTTTATTCTAATAAAATTATATATGAAATTGAATTTTATAAAATATTAGCAATAGCAATTAAGAACTCTCAATTATCAAGTATTGAAATTGTAAATTATTCTATTTCAATTAAAATTAATTAAATAAAGTAATAAGATACTTACACTCTTTCCTTATGGAGCAACGCCCAAAACTCCTCTTCAGTGGTGCTTTGACTCTAATCCCGAATATATCGAGCAATTAAAGAAAAAAAAAAGAAAAAAAAATAAAGATATAAAGTAACGCGACCGAGAATAATTTCCGGCGAACAATTGTAATGACTCTACTTTCACGATGAAAAAGGAAAAAGCAGAGACGCGATGCTCTAAAGAATATTTTATAATCCGCAGCAAACACTGACTCTACTTTCGCGTGATTCCTAATCATACAAACGCAACTCTATTCAGGGCCAGTTCGCCCTTGCAAAAATCAAAACATTGGCAGTATATTCGTACAAACACTGACTCTACCGACCGCATTGCGCGCGGCCACAACAATTCCTGAAAGAAAAACTTAGTGGGCAGGGATGGGCTGGGTGGAAATAAACAAAACAACATTCTTCTTATTGAGTGTTCGTAACGGAAATACTGTTATTAATGGCTTGTAAATGAAAATATCTATGTTCGTCAAATATATTCGACGAGCACAAATATTGTTAAATCTGAATATTGATCCTAGATTGAAATGAAATGTTTTAAATAATTGTTGATAATTATTTCAATGAATATTACATCGATAGAAAATCATTTTGTAATACAGATAATAGACTATGGTATTAAAGCAGAGGATTTTTGTTGTTAAGATTATAAGCATACTACAAATTGTTAGAAATTCTATTATGGCATGATTTATAAATTATCTAATTCTTTTCAATAAGCAAAGTCCAATAATTAACCATGCTTAAACAGCATATGATTTAAAAACGAGATTCTATTTTAATTTAAACTTGCATCGAAAACTGGATATTATAATATAATTACTACTATTTAACAAAAATAGATTGTTTAAAATAATTAATAATTGCAGAAGAGAAGTAATCATTTGCAGTAGAATACGAATTATTTCAATTTAGTTCTACTTTAAAACAAATGTATTAAAACACTGGACGAAATTATTCAATAAAATGAAAAATTAATTATTCTTTTTCTATGAATTGGTTAAAGAAAAAAAATGTCTTTAATCTTTTCTTTCTTGACTTTGGTAGCAAGTAATTATCAAAAATGCTTATAATTAACAACGACTCAATAAAAAACAAGTATGAATAAATGTTAATAATTGATTAGAATAAATTAAAACAATAAATTCTTACGAAATTCTATTTTAAACCTATATCAGATGTCATGGCGTCCTTTCAATATTCATCAAATATCTGTAACAAATAAGAAATACCAATTTATGTAAATAAAATTTAATCAACAATAATAAAATTATTACTAATAAACGACCGAACTATAATTTATGCAAAATATTTTAATAGGTAGAGTGCGCACCTACTACTTATACGGAAGGATGCTCTCAACACGTCTTGTCACTTCGACGTTCGCGAGAGAAATGACGAGACCTTCCTTCCTGCCGAAAACCGATCAGCACCATTCGGTATTATTCGGTAATGTTCGTCCCCAGCCGAACCGAAGCCGGTAGACGAACAGATCTCATAATATTACGATGCTCAAGAGAGAATGTTATTAAATATCAAACAGTAAATTTTGTGAAAGAATATTAAAAACGTTCAATATTGGTTAGGAAATTAACGATATAAAAGGGAAAGTAATTCAAATTCTGCTGTTCCAACCTCATTGTACAATCGCAGCAAGAGCACAAATTTTCAACTCTTGTATTTTTGAAGAAAATGCCGAATTAATGTCAAATATCAAGAATCTAGACTTCTCTTCGATGGTTGTTTCTGTTTTTTGTACTTTTAACACCCGATCGGCAATTTAATTTAATATTTGAAGATAATTTAATCTTACCTGTTGCAGACACGTGAAAGACAGACGAAGCTTCAGAGAGGACTGATGCACTGCGCCACAAATCGACGGACTCGCTCACACAACGACGTGTCTGATTGGTCGAAATGAGAGGACGCCAACATGGGACGACCAATCACAGCCATCGATAGAAGTTTCAAAGTGCTTCGAAACATTAATACTAATCGTAAGGGAAAGGTTCGTTAAAAATTATCGACGCCATATTGAAATAAAATCAAGATTACTTTTCTCAACTTTAAACACCAAAATATACGAAACAAAGTAGAAAAAATATAAGATATTGACGGGATTTAAGAAATTTTTGATATAAAGGCAGAATAAATGAAGGAAATGTTATTTTAATTCGTATCTATATCGGTGTAATAGTAAAAAACGAGAAAATCAATTATCACGATATATAACAATAAATTACGAGAAAAATGTACTAAAACCATGAAAAAATGCAATAATATTCGAAAAATTATTGATATAATGGGAAAATAATTCAGATTCTGTTCTTCCAACTTCATTGTCAATTCACGGCAAGAGCAAAAAATTTCAACTCACGTATTTTTAAAGATAACCTCGAATTAATGTCAAAAAACAAAGAGCTAGACTTCTCTTCGGCTATTCTTTCTCTTTTTTGTATTTTCAACACCCGAAAGACAGTTTAATTTAATATTTGAAGATAATTTAATCTTACCTGTTGCAGACACGTGCAAGACGAACGAAGCTTCGAAGAGTAATGCTGTACTGCGTCACAAATCGACGCACTCGCTCACACAGCGACGTGTCTGATTGGTCGAAATGAAAGGATGCCGAATGAAACAACCAATCACAGCCATTGGTAGAAGTTTCGAAACTGTAATGCTAATCGTAATGGAATCGTTCATACAGTAACTGTCGTCGTGATATGGATAAACTGAAAAATAAAACACTGCAAGGATGAATGAAAAACAAAATTCTTTTTATATTTTAGAAAGATACAACCTCAATTTAATGTTAACTAAATGATTTATTAACAAAACATGTGATTGCTATCTGTAATAGGAAAGCCAAAACAATTATACGATACGCTTTTATTTTAAAGTCTTAGATTCGTAAGAGTACAAAATAATACAACATAAAACGACGATTCTCTTTCTCCAGTAACTTTTCTTCACACCAAAATGTCTGTCTGGCCCTTTAGTCGATCTTGAAGTCGGTACAACACTAACCATTGTTTTATCATTATAATCGTTCTTAATTGTAACTTAATTCTTGTTCCTTTTCACTCGTACACTTTAAAAAGCAATGAGCACATTTCGTTGATTCAACGCACTTGATAGCCCTTGTCACAAAAATTTTGGATGCGTGTATACTGCATCAGTGTGTGTGTATGAATTAATGCAATCTGTATGTGTGTTCGTGGTGTATGCATAACACACGCGTGTATAAGTGGTCTTAATGTTAATATTACACACGTACGTGAAGTCTGATGCGTGTAGAAAGTTAACAGCTTAAATACTAAACATTCTGTACTGTCTGTTCATTTTTTTTCCATATCTCTTACAAATGTCTTTTTAAATTCTTTATTATCATTGCTTCGTCCGAGTATGTACGCGTGGTAACGATTATATTTTTTTTTGTTTTCTTTCGTATATTTACATATAAAATCGAGTTTCTTTTTTGTCTTCCATCCGGCACATTTTGTCGGTCCGTTCTCTCGAACACTTTTAGCACCTAACTGCAAGTAAATAGAGAAGACACTTAATATAAAACATTCACTTGATTGTATCATCGATGATCGATTCCAACGTTGAAGAAAAGTGTACGCGAAGCTTTTTATCATATAAAAATACGAGATTTGATCCGTGCATTTGTTTGTTTTGTTTCTTAATTTGTGGTAATATTAATACCGTCTATCACGGGAATCCGAACGAGAACGGCGGTCTCGGCTGCGGCTACGAGTCAGAGATCTTCTGCGAGGGCTACGGGACCTTGACCTAAAATATTAAAGAAACATTTTAAACCATTTTCAATAGGAACGATGCGATTATTCATTAATGCACGACTCCCTACTTCGTCTCAAAAATTTGCCAACACTATTGTTATTAGTCCTGTTAGTTCACGGCTAGAAGGTACATGCTCTGTCATTGTTTTTATATTACTTAATAAGGACATCTATAAGATTGAAAAATAACGTGATTATCAAATGCTTTCTAGTAAACACATGAGACGAAACAGAACGTCGCACGTTAAACACATAGGTACGAAAATGATCGCAAGGCAACTGTAATAGAATTAGGACTGGCTAATTCCTATTTGCCTAAGGGGTGATAAAACTAGTTAGACACAATAATTAATACAAAATGACATCTCACCAATAATGAGAAACCAATAAACGAAAGTGGGATTAATTTAGTTAAATTAAATCTTTACAAATAACTGTTATATATGTATACACATAATATGTATATATATATATACTAATAAACATATTATTATTATTAATATTATTATGTAAAAAGTGACAGTTCTCTGGTCCAATGTACAAATATTATTATTAAAAATAACTGAAGAAAAAAAAAGGAAAAGAAATATTAACCATAGTGTTCCTTGATATGCTTTTACCATCCATGACCAGCTTGAACATGGTACGAAACATTGGACTACAGAGAACGTGACACCATAATTAAAAAAAAAAAAGATAAAAAAAGAAAAAGAAAAAGAAAAAAAAGATAAAAAATCTTTGAAAATCGGTGAAATACCAGACAACTGTGAACATGTAGTGGTGGTTGGTGGTGGTGGTACTTGGTTGGGTGGTGGTGGGATGGTGTGTAGGTGGTGATCATTTTGCTTTGCTCAGTCGAAGAGAAGTGGCGGTCGCGTTGTCGGCTAAGTTTAACGTGATGGTTGACGAGTAGTAGTAGTAGCAGTAGTAGTAGTAGTAGTAGTAGAAGTTGGAACGGACGGACGGACTGACGCGCCGAGATTTTGACAGAAGTATTCGTTCATATCGCGTCGGCTGTTCGATGGATTCACGATGCTCCTAGCCGCTAGAGGTTGAGGTAGCCCGAAGAAGTCTTTTTGAAGGGGAACAGACGGACTGACGGACTGACGGACAGCATCGGACTGTCAACTGACGGACGACTTGGCTCCTACCGGTGACTGGTGGTGACTGATGGTGACTGGTTGGGAAGTTAGTGGGCAGGCAGGCTTTTTTTTGTTCAGTTTTGATTGCTAGACTTTTTTTCACGGTGGCTGTAGTAGTAGTAGTAGTAGTAGTAGTAGCAGTAGTAGTAGTGGCGGGGAGACGAGCAGAGCTAGGAGCTGACGCTGGTAGAATCTGCAAACGTCAGTTTTAGCAATATAACTATCAACGTTATCATACTCCTGGCCACTATATCGGTATACACGAGTTCTTTCCTTAATCCAAATTTCACAAAAATTGCACATCTTTGACTTATTTACGATTATAATCCTAGACTGCCCACTCTGATGCGTACAAAAGAAGACTCTACTTGCAGCTGATCGATTAAACTTATATGATGAATGTATCAGTTTCAACTTATCCTTTACGTATACTTATCGTAACGCATTGTGCAGTACGCTAAAACATGGTACTCTATAGCTTTTAGAAGCAAAATAAAATTCAACTTGATGAAAACTAATACAGTAAAATAGAATTTGATAAGAGCAAGCTGCTTCGATGCGTGTACGATAAATAAAAGTGACCAAAATACAAAGTGCAACTGAACTATTTGCACATTAGTGCGTTCCAATGTAAAAAAATCACTGCTAATATAAATATTTAATTAAATTCAATATTTAATTTATACTTTATTCGGTATCTGAATGGTTTGAAAAATTTCTGAAAAATTCAAAAATCGTAATTACTTGTAAGCAGCTATTAATATGTTTACGTATCTGGAATGCTAGAATCTTCAGATACCGAATAATCTTCTATCTGAAACACTTATAAAGTAAAATCAATCAGATTCTATAATAGCACAATAAGCACTAAAAATAAATTGCTTTGAAATGATAAAATTAACACCAGACACCGCTAATTAATTACTTTCATATGCCACCGGTGCTGCTTTTTTTTATGCACCGAACGAGCTTCGTAGTTGCCAACTAATTCTTGATCTTAAACGTTTTTCTTTTCTTTTTTTTCGTATGTTTCAAATTATTTCTTCGTCCTCCGTCTACCGCACTATATTCTAGTTTTGTCCTCTCCAACTTATGCCAATCAATTAACAATTACATGACCGCCGATCGTGACAATTACGCAATTCTTAGTGTTCAATACACCTTCAACAAAATTACTCTACATGTTTCTTTCTTTTCTTTTTTATGATACATTGTGATTCTGCGTGCAAAATTGCGATGATCACAATACAAGCGGTACTTGCAAATACCTACTTGTAACTTGCAGATTGGCTGTTCTTGGTAAGGCCCTGAAAATTTCATAAAAAATTATAAGATAACGAAAATTTACCTGGAATATCGGCTTATCGGTGATCTGCGCGGACTTCTTGACCAGGACCTACAAAAAATTAAGAAAAACTGTTGTATGTTTCAGACTGCTCATTATGTTGCCAATCGCCATGTTTCGCTTTGATTTCTTTCTTTTGTCTACTTGCATCTGAAAATTATGGTTAACAGGGCTAGGAAAATCTTACCTTGGATAACGACCCAACGATTTCCTTCGAGGACTTCGAGATCTGGACCTACAAGTTTGTCAAAAAAGATATATGGTACGTGAAACCTGTTGTTTGCTAAGCATTTTCACAAGGAGATTACAATGGGAGCAATATGAGCTCTAAACGAAATTTGCTACCTCTGCCATAGCTAAAACTTTGCCCTAGCATCTCCCGTTTAGGTTTCCCATGCAGTGTATTTGGTTGCTCTTCGGCTAACCGCACGAATATTCACATTCAATATACATTTTCATCATACTGAAACTGTTATTTTTTAAATTATTTCATATATTTTCATTAAAATCATCTGATATCATTGATCTTGTTATTCATGTAAGAGCACTAGCCAGAAGAGCGGTAAGATCAAATAAATGCAGAATGAAGTATATTGTATCCGCATTCCTATACAAAATAATTAAAAAAAATATCAATTTACAACCGTTGTGCATAAAAAAAAAAAAAGTTCACCGAAACCCGTGCATTATTTCTTGACATTCTTAGTCGATAACTGCACTTTAATACCTACTTGGCGAGACACTTAGCCGTCTGCAGTAGCTCAAACGTTGCTGTAAAATGCGAATCTCCAACATTTAGAGATCTCTTACCTGGAGTATCTTGGACCGGGTCTACGCCCACCACCTCCTCGTCGACTTCTTCCTGAAGACATTTCTACTCTTACTCTGGTTCCACAGCAACGTCTGTTGAACAAAAACATCATTTTTATTATCAAAATTCATTATCATAACTATTGTAATAACTATACATTTTGAATATTTCACTTACGTTCCATCTAATCCTCTAACTGCATCTTCTGCATCACGTGGATCTTCAAACTCCACGAAGGCAAATCCAGGTGGATTTCTAGCAACCCACACATTCCTAAGTGGGCCGTATTTACTGAATGCAGTTTCAATTTCGTGTTTGCTTGCACTATTTCCCAGGTTGCCGACATATACCTTGCACGAAAGATCCCATTCACGATAACGTGACATTTTGCGTCTGTAAATAATAATAGATTTCTTATCAATATCATTAATGTATATTCACAACTGAAGTTCGTATCATTTGAATACTGATTTCATCTAAATAGATATTACGTTCTTGAGAAACGTAATTCATTAGCAGTAATGAAAATGAATTATCGACACCCACTGTCAGTTTATCTATATTAAAATAATATCGACCGGCGACGAAAGTGCCATTCAGTACAATACTTAAAACACATAAACAAATATGCATAGTATCAAAATAAATTTTAGAATCAACTTAATTTTATTATTGTTTATTTACTAACGTTTAAACTACAATGAAAATTTAGATTACAATTACGGTTAGAAAAGAACGTCGGAATACCGCCATGTTGTACTCTCGACTTACCGCAGTAACGGAGACCTATTATGACAAACTTAAACAGTTCAATTTAAAACAAAAATATGATGCATTACTTAATCTGAAATATTGTAATGATTAAAAAATGGTATTTCTTTCAAGTTTTTATTCATAGAGACATAAAAACATCGCTAAAATATGTCGAAACAAAAACCGACGCCATGTACATTTCGAAGCATTGTCCCCTTTAATCTGCGATATTTATAATTACAAATATGTAGGATTACATCTATTATCGATAAAACATTAGTTTACTTACATTTTTGATGTGTGAATTTATTTAAAGAATTTTATAATCTTATACACAGAACCGTCTCTTCTAACTGCACAAGCAGCAATGCCCACAAAATGGTGGCGTGTGTAGCGTTAATCTTCTTCTGTGGCCTTCTTTCGAAGATGGCATTGGTGCATGTGTATATTGCTTTCCACATTTTTAGTCAAATGAGAGCTTAATACTATTATTATATTTCTGTATTTCTACATAATTATTAAATTTACAATGTATACTAATTTATATTTTCTAAATATTAATTTAACTCAATATCCTTTTGATTTTGACAAAAAATTTTAATATTTTACTCTGCTTTAAGTATAAATTATTTATAACTATCATCACACGGAAGCAATACACCTCTAATTTACGAATTTGTTCAATAAAACTACCTTTAATTAGTATCCAAAAATTGTTTATGAAAATCGATAAGTGTTACACATTGACTTGCGTTGTACGGAAAATGAATGGTATACTTTATACTCCCACTACCTACGACATTGCATCAATAATTAAATTTAAAATATAGTAAATAATATGTATAACAGACAATCTGATTAAAATAGATATACAAATTTATTTTTATGTTTTGAATTATAAAAAAGTTTAATTATGTACAATTTTACAAGACAGATTTACATATGTAAAGTATATAATTTTATGATAAAAATATAATGTTCATTAATTCTATACCTCTTATATTAATGAACAAGTCTTTTATAATCAATTTTTTCAAGCTGAACCAAGGGTTTTAGTTGTTCAGCAAAGATTCTCATATCTTCTGCTATTGCATCTTGACCACTTGGTGCTAAGACACTCAATTCTACTAAATAGCTTTGAGATATGGCTTCCATACTTTCAGGCATTTTACCCTGCTGACCCATTTTAAATATCTTAGAAACTGTCACCTTCATTCTGCCTTTACGGAACATGTAACCACGTGCAATGTATTCAAAATCTAATCTACATCCAAGTTCTGTTAAAAAGTCAACAACTGTGTTACTGGTTGCAATATCTAAACTACTTCTAACAATGGTTGGACGTGACTTATCACCCAATTCTGGTTGACCAATATACCGTAATTGCCAAGGCATGTCTTGATAATCCAAAGCTCTCCTTACACGTAAAAGCAATGGTTGCTCTGATGCTCTGAAATATAAATGGTCAAATAATTATATTTTTCTCCTATGATACCATATCTATGACTTTATGTTCTAAAGTTATTTTATATACCTAATACTGAAACACATTTCATGATCATTAAAAGTTTCTGGTCCAGTATCAACATTGTCACATAAACCACGTAACCTATGAAGCAATACTTCTACTGCACTATCCAGAACTGATCCTTGTAACAAATACTCTTGGTTTGGAATTATATTAGATTTAAGTGCAGCTGTTAAACTGTCCATTGCTGTACTTATTGGGGCACTCATTTTTAAGGTTGTAAATTTTGTGTGTTTAATAATGTAAGCGTAATAATATATACATAAATAATTGATAAATATTCAGTTGGAGAAGTTGATGCCTGAATTCAATCAGTGACTACATATTGCTACATGTCCAACAAGACTAAACATGACTTTATTCTCTGGGGGTCTTGAATTTATGCCTCGAAAGTGAGCGCCATTTACTTTACCCCGCTATAAAAATTAGTGAAGATAACTGCAGATGAAATTCGAATTCCGCATCGGTAAAACAGCCCACGTTTGATCGTCGAGGCCGCTTCATAAACACGAGCTACGAATGAAACGAATGAACTGCGCCCTACTGCAAGTTTTACTAATGTATATACAATACCAGTCGACTAAAGTTTTGTACCGTAAAAGACCGTGTTTATTATAAGGTTTATAGACGAAATTGAAGATTTGTATTCATTATCAATAACGTAGAAAATGAATGTGAAAAATATTTATATTGAATGTAATATGGAAAATTTTCTCTCACAAGGAGTAAAAATAGAATAGTGTGTAACCTTAATACCTTTGTTTTTAAATACCCATTCTTACCGGTCAAATGTTTACTCCCATCGTTATCGTTAGTCGTACATTAACAACTGCTGTAAGATGCAAACGGCGAGTTGTAGTCACAGGAATAGGAATAGTAAGTCCTCTTGGAATTGGTGCACAAAATGCCTGGCAAGCTCTCATTAACTCCAAGTCAGGTATTACGAAATTAAGCAAACCGGAGTATGAAAAATTACCTTGTAGAGTCGGTAAGAGTTTCATAATTTTTAATTTTTTGAAGGAAAACTTAAATAATTTCTTGTAGATAATATAAAAATGTAATTATTGTTGAATAGCTGCATTAGTACCAAAAGGAGATGGACCTAATCAATTAAATATTGATTCTTACTTTTCAAAAAGTGAGTTACGCACAATGTGTCCTGCTACTGCATATGCATTAATTGCTACAGAGGAGGCATTAAATGATGCAAATTGGAAACCAGAAGCTGAAACAGATAAACAAGATACAGGAGTAGCAGTAGGGATTGGAATGATAGATTTGGTAGATGTATGTACAACATATGAAGCTTTAAAGAAGGGATATAACAAAGTCAGTCCATATTTTATACCAAGAATATTACCAAATATGGCTGCTGGACAGATTAGCATTAAATATGGCTTTCGTGGACCAAATCATTCTGTATCAACAGCATGTGCAACTGGAGCACATGCAATTGGTATGTTAAATCTGAACACAAGTAAAAAATATTATCTATGTTTGTTATGTAATTAAACAAAATTTTTACATTACAATTTATATAGGTGATGCATCTCGTTTTATTCGTGGTGGGGAAACAAGTGTAATGGTATGTGGAGGAGCAGAAGCATGCATTAGCCCTCTTGCTATAGCTGCTTTCTGTAGACTTAGAGCATTAAGCACTAATAAAAATGATTTTCCATATGAAGCATCAAGGCCGTTTGATAAAGACAGAGATGGGTTTGTAATGGGAGAAGGTGCTGCCATATTAGTATTGGAAGAGTTAAACCATGCACTTGAAAGAAAAGCTAAGATTTATGGAGAAGTATTAGGATATGGGTTATCTGGTGATGCAGCACATTTAACTGCACCCAGTGAAGATGGTACTGGTGCTATACTAGCTATGGATAGAGCTGTAAAAGATGCTGGTATAGAAACTGTAGAAATTACTTTTATCAATGCCCATGCAACCTCTACTCCTTTGGGTGATGCTATTGAACTAAAAGCTATAGAATCATTTCTAGGGCAACATAGTAAAAATGTCACTGTGTCTAGTACAAAAGGTGCTCATGGTCACTTGCTGGGAGCAGCAGGAAATTTAGAAGCTATTTTTACTATTCTAGCAATAAGAGATGGCATAATCCCGCCAACATTAAATTTGCATAATTTAGATGTAGAAACGAATTTAAATTTTGTTCCTAATGTAAAAAAGAGCTGGAATTCAACTTCAAAGCGGGTAGCTCTAAAAAATGCTTTTGGTTTTGGAGGGACAAATGCGTGCTTATGTTTTGCACAATACAACGAATAAGCGCATTACTACGAAACTACGATACTTCTGTAAATCATAATAACAAACACAACATAACATGAACTAGTCATTCCTCAATGTACATTAATTAATACATACACTGTATCTGCAAGAAACATATGCATAATTTTACTCCTTTATGGTGATATAAAATAATATTAAGCTAGGATATAATAACTCAAATATTTTTTAATATTTTTGTGTAGCATACGACACAAAACTCATGTAATATATTATGTAAAGAAAAACATTTTTATATTATGTATTATTTGTAAAAGATTGTACAGAGAAATGTAATTTGAAATTATATAATACATAGTGGAATGCAATATTTATTTTGTATTGATTACTTTTAATATTTTCTGATTATATCATTATTACATTTATACCCATTTTTGCAGAAAAACAAAATTAAACTTCTGCTTTAAATAAAACAAAATTCTCTTAAAAGTATGTAATAATTAATGAAGTTAACCATCTACACAACAATTGCTTGCTACGTGCAGTTGATTATAATTTGCCATATTTTAATGGCTAATACGTGCTGATAAAAATGATTGTTTAATTATTCAAGCATATAGAAATCAGTCTCATTTAACTCTGAACACTGATGTTCGTTTGTGCATTAATCCGATAATTTGTATTTCCTTGAAACCAGTTTTCAGAGTTAATATTTGACTATGTATATGTATATACTAAATTTCATTCATTTATAATTACATTTCCATCTACAAATGTCTTTTATTTTTATTATGAATTCAACTGCATAGAAAACAACAAAATTCAAGGCATAATTATTTGTTGATACCTCTAGTTTATTAGATGCAATTCTCGCTCGTAGATAAACCATACCATACGATGAAGTTACGATGTACATCTCCAACGGTATTTTATTCACACAGGAAGGTTGACCTCCAATGACAAGTTATCCAAAATACATCTATTGCATTCATGTCTCTCTACTGGCAGTAAATCAATGTAAAAAAAGAAAGATTTTATCCTATTAAGTAACTGTACCTAGTAGGAATTCTTAATTAGGAATGATAAAGGGCTTGTGATGACTGCATAAAATAGCAAAACGTTTTCTAAGTGTCTGACGAAGTTCTTGTCGTTTCTCAAGAACTTGGCACATTCGAGATTTAAATTCCAGAACTTCTTCCGCTGGAATATAACTTTCTTTTTCTTCGTCATCTGATAAGTAGGAATCCTAAGAATAAATTGCGTTAAAAATAAGAATAAAACTTTCAACAGGAACAGAACTAGACCAAACTACACTTACTTCTAACATCTGTGTAAGTGTTAAACCTCCACCCCTTTCTTTAAGTAAAGAGATACTGGAATTGGAATGAACAAGTTTATCAGATGGTCGTATATCATGACAATCTCTCTCATGATTACAACACCCATCACTGCAAGCTACTTCCGATCCTTCTGGAGTACTAGGAAGGGAAGAACTACTAATGTTATGTTCCGACGAATAACCGCAATCTTGTGACGATCGTTCGCTTGAGGAACGACTTTTCCTATCTGAGATTGATAATTCAAACCGTTTTTTCATTTCTATCCACATGTTGTATCTTTTGCTTGGTTTTCCTATCCAAGCATCTACGATGTCTTTAGCCATTGGATCTTTACAACCATCCAAACTGTGCCAGTGGTCAATTTTTTCGGAAAAATCCTGTACATTGAACGATATTTAAATCTTATAACGCACGTTAATTGATGCATAGAGCATGTATCGATACATTGAATTATTACCTTACACGATTCACACGATTCGAAATATTCTTCTTCAGAAAGATTTTTAACGGGAGTATTATTCTTTTTTGTTTGATTTGCAGCAGTTTTTGCCTTTGATTCGGAAGAACCTTTCTTAACTGTAGTTTTTTGCATATTTGATGATTTTTTAGGGAATGCTAACTGAGTTTGACTTTGTGGTTGCGATATACTAGATTTTGATTTCTTTACACAATCTGGACATTTACACGTTGGCGATCTCTTGTTTTTTGGATCTAATACTTGTAACTGGAAAAAGAAAAACCATATTCGTTCGATTTTACTCATAATTGCACAAGAAAAAACAGGATACATACCTTATGTCGATCTATATTTTGCGTCGTGGGTTTCAAATCTGCACAAACACAAGGTGTATCACTGTTACCACTTTGCCTTTTGCTTGAACACTGAGGATAGAATTAAGTAAACATATTGATTATGTTCACTAATTTTAGGAGCTTAAATTTATTAAACAGTAACGTACATCACATGTATTTTCTTTTTCTTCCGTCTCATAACGACGTTCTTTCTTCTTCTTGCGTTTCAAGCGTAATTTTTCTCGTCGTTGCTGTTTCGCTATTTCTTCTCGTGTTAACTCTTCATAGAGGAGTTCTAGTTGAGAAATACCTTGTTTAACTTCTACAGCCATCTATAAAGTATTCCGTAATTATGAACAAATAAATCTATTAATTTCATAATTCGACAGTTCCAGTAATCATACTTGAAAATTCCTAGACAATGCATCCACTGCAACAGCAGCTAGTACTCTGCATACAGTTTCTTCTTCTCTTAATCGCCTATGAACTCTATGCAAACGTTCGGCGACACATATTCCTAAACATGTAAGTACCTCTTCCTGAGCAATTTCCAATGTCTTTGCATGTCGTTCCCTACAGTTCAGAAATATGTATATTATAACTGAATTGTAAGGTGGTGTAGCATAAGTCATAAAGTTTTGTGATCCTGTACCTTCCCATGAGTTCTGGTTGAGCGCGTCCGATAAGGGTACTAATATAATCTGTATTTGTAGGTAAATGTACATGTCTATCGCGTATACAACGTTTAATCCCAGAATATAAAGCAGCAACATAACCCTTCTCCTTTGCTGGTTCAGGTTCTGTTGTTAGCAGTGAAGAAGCCAATAATACCTTTGTACGACATTCGCCACAAAATCTATAATAAACCGGTGATCAAAAATTTTTCTATATGATTACGTATATGTACGAACCTACCGATGTTTACGCAAATATGTATCGAGAGTGGCCTCAAGAGTATCAGTTTCGATTAAAGCAAGTTCTTGACGACACGGAAGTTCCATACAATCCCATACTTCTTTCCATGCACTGGGAAGAGGTTTCATACGCTGTATTTCTAATGAGTGTAATACACACCTTCTTGACTTTTTATTTCTGGGCTGTCTTTCAACTAAACTATTTAACCTAGTGCTATGATAAATATTAAAACTGTTAATAAGAAACACATATATAAATATATACATATTGACCCTTTTATTACCTGTGTCCCTGTAACATTGTACAAAGCAATTGTGGTGATTCTAGAACATCATCTTTTATTGACAATAAACCTTCAGGTGTAATTACCAAAGGATCTAATGCTGGATGTCCTGATTTCATGAGGTCATAGAACAATCTCTCAACACTAAATATATCATTTTATTAGGTGGTATAGATATGAAACAAATCTATTTTATATAAATATTATTCAAACATTTTATACCTTCTTCTACAACCAACACATGGTACAGCTTGGCCCAAAATTGCAAGCATATCCTTGCAAGTAACTTCAAAGGAAGCTTTAATTTCCTCTTTTGTAAGCATATCAAGTTTTCTAGTAAATTCATCAAACTGTTTACCACGAACTAATGGACTATCACAGATTGCTCCCAAACCATTTATATCCATAATCATCTATAGAAAAAAAAAGAAAATATTACATTACAAAATTAAATTCATTTTCATGTTTTAATTGAAATAAATTACAATATAATGTTTAATCCAAGTCTATTTTATACTATGGTGTAAGTAAACTCAAGCTCCATTCTATCACAATTATCATTAACTTTATCATTCAGCTATTTATTCCATTTACTTAATAATATCTTATCAAAATATAAGCAGAAAACAAAACATTTTGACACTCTATTCTTTTAAAAGAAAATAATTAAGTTAATAATTGTAATAGGAAAACTGCAAAACCAAATTATAAAAGATCTATTAAATCTGTCGACATATAATAGTAACATTTAGCAGTTAGGCAAGGTATAAATATCAAACACAGTATGTCTAATTAATTATGGCATAAGCATGCACTCATTGCCACGTTTAGGTTAAGTCAGAAATATCATAGGATATCATTACGTAAGTCCGATTAGGATTTTAATTTTCGATAGGTAGAAACGGTTTTTCAAATAAAATGACAAAAGAGTATCGTGCTCACCGTAAGATTTTCATCGACAATCAACGGCATTTGTCTTCGCGTCAAATCGACCGGGTCATCGTCCCGCCAAACATTTACCAGCTTCGCCATCGTTATTCGATTCTCTATTAATAATAATTATATATTGAAATAACGGCTAATACTGTAAACCGTTACGATGCACAATCAGAAGTAATTGTGATTCACTGCCACGACTATGCCAAAAAAATAAGAAGACAGTATCATACGTCTGCCATTTGCAACGAGTGGTTTCTCACTTCCGCCCTGCGTGCATTGTCCCGTTTCCCTCTCTAAGCGTCAATTTATCCTTATTTTAATTGTACATACCTATTTCTAATCACTTTTCGCAGTATATTTTTTGTAGTTCAAAGTTTTATGATATATGTTATTCATAATATTAAATAAAATCTGATGTAGTTAACGGTAATGCGACTGAGTGTATTATGTCTTGAAAGTGATTTGATACACTTACCTACCACGTAGAAAATCATTTAAAATGCAATCAACAAACGTATATTTAGATGCGTATATAATAAAGTATATGTATACATATGTATGTAACATAAAAAATACTTAACGGATTAAAAAATATACTACTCGTCGATTTATTTAAGGAAACCTATCACAAACATATCATAGAGCAATTGTATAGTAAGAAAACTTTAGTAAAGTACTTTTACCTCTGTTCGTATGATAATTCTATTTTTTTACTTCTTTTAAAGAAATTCTATGTAACATATTTATTGTACATGCGATAATTGAAAATTTTGTTACATAATATTTTTATTTACGGTGTACGTAGTACCTATGATTTTTAACGAACGTATTTAAAACAACAAAATGATGGTTTTTAAGTATGTTTGGTTATTACCGTTACTTGTATCTATATATTTACTATATTCAAATGATTATCTAAATGATATCAGACTTGATTCCTTGGAAAAATGGCTAAATATTGTTAAAAATGCTTATACTAACATGAATAAAAACTCGAACTTGGTATCAGATGTTAACCACAAAATGTTTACATCAGATGAACTTAGAAAATATACAAATTTAAAAGATGGTTTGTATATTTCAATATTAGGACATGTTTTTGATGTTACTAAAGGAGAAAAATATTATGGACCTGGTGCAACTTATCATGGCTTCACTGGTATTATACTTTGTAATAAAATTATGTTGATTATATTTGTAGTACATATACATAATTTGTATATATACATATATATTTATAGGTCGTGATGGATCATTAGCATTTATTACAGGACAATTTGATGATAATGGTTTGACAGATGATATCTCTTCATTATCTATGGAACAAATTAAAGCATTAAATAATTGGGTACAATTCTATAATGAAACCTATATTTATAAAGGTACTTAAGGTTTAATTTTGGGTATGATAAATAAATGTTATTTTATTCTTGATCATATATAAATATTTCTTGAGTAGGAAAGTTAATTGGTAGATATTATAATGAAGATGGTGTACCAACTGAAGAATTTTACAATATACAACAAATATTAATAGAAGCAAAGGAGAAACAGTTTGAAGAAGAACACAAGAAAAGAATGTTTCCACCTTGCAATATAGAGTGGAAACCAGATTCTGGTACTGTAGTATGGTGCTCTAAGAAAAGGTATACATAAGTATAATGTATATAAAAATATTCATTCCACTGAAATTATTATTTTATTTTTTACAGTGGAGGAATAGAAAGGGACTGGATTGGTGTACCAAGAATGTTGTTTGAATCTCCAAGTTCTAAACAATACAGGTGTGCGTGTGTCAAGCTTGATAGTAAAGAATATGAGGAATTAAAAGGCATGCTTAAAGAATATACTAAATGTCCAAAAACTGCAATAAAGTGTGCTCTGAAAACAAATGATTTATAACAGATATAGAGATCCCAAATTAGCAATTGCAGTTTAAGCCAAGATAATGAGAAAGTACTATATTTTTTATATATTTTGATACAGTATATTGAGATACAATTGTAAATAATTTCTAATACAAAATACAATACATTTATAAAGAACATTACATTAATTTATTATTCTTATTTTTCAAAAATGGTAAGAATGCTTATAGTTTTTTCATGTTTTCAGTCTTTTTCAGTTTGTGCTGCTTTAAAAGTTCTTTAAATTGTTCATTATTGTTCAACTTACAAGTTGCTATATCTTAAGAGCACAAGTTTTTATATTATTGAAAAATATTTCAAATTAAAGATTCTTAATATAATAATACTATATCATGTTACTTAAATGCATACAAAAAAAAGAACATAATTCAAAATAACATAACATCAAAAGTATGTCAAACTGGAGGTTTTCAGTTCAATCCAAACCATTTTGTTCCACAGCTTAATACTTTTACATTTTTTCATTTTACCTCATTATTAATTTTTGCAGGAGATTCTGCTCTAATATCATTTAGTTTCTCAAGCAGCATTTGCATAGATGCTTGTTTTCGTTTAAAATTACTCTTTGATCCAAATACTTTTTTAATTCTTGCTCTTCTTTTCTTTATCTTGGAATCTGAAGGTTTTTGTTTAAACTCGATCATACGTCTATATCTCTTAACACCCATATATAATGTACTTTCATTTGCATCATCTTTTTCCTCAAATATTGTTTCTAAAGTATTTAATTTCCTTTTTAAACTTCCATTTAAGTAATATTCCTTAATACCTTTTTCTTTTCTGTTATTATAATCCATTTGTGTACATGTTCTTTTTCTTGGTCTTAAACTACATCTAATGGTATATATAGAAAATAATTAAATTGTGATATATAATATTAGAAATTTTGTTGTACCTTCTATTAAGACTTTCATTGGAATCAGTTGCTGGCACATTTTTCCTAAATACTGTTCCATGATTAGAAGATGATGAAGTATTTACGGTGAGCATTTCCAAACTAGCCATTATTGCAGGTAAATTAGTATCAGCTATATCATATGTCACTTCTCTAAGAAAGAAAAACATTTATGTTTATAAACAATTCAATTGTTTAAAACTGTCATTATCAGGAGGTATTTATTTATATTATACAAAGTAACTTAACAAATGTAAGAATTAAAATGACTTTTTATTCCAACATAGTCTTGTAATAATCAGTTAGTATAAACTATTAAAACATACAGTGAAAAATTGTAAATCTATTTTCATAGATAAATTGTAATTTTAGGGATGTTATTCTCAAAAAACATACGTTGTTTCAGCTTGAGTTTCGTCCATATTTAACATTGTAATATGTATATTTTTAATCTTAAATTAATGCTACCATTCACTTATGATCATAATTGATGATCTTCATTGCACCTTTCCGTTAAAAGAGATTTGGCAGTATAAAATGTTCAGTAATAACCATGTATTTTTGTGCTTATGAATATCTTGAAATAGTTTTCACGATATGCTATTGAATTAAAACATTTAGGATCTTTTAGAATTTGGAAATTAATCAGTCATCTATAATATTAAACATCCTTGTTTATTCGCAGCATAAATTAGAAAATGATATTTTCTGGATAAAGCACTGACTACAGTATTAAATGAACAAACATCCCTTTGTTCTCGAGCGGTGTTGAATTTGTGCTTCAAGAACGAACGCCATCTGCTCTATCTTATGTTAGATATTCGTCATATTGTCAATTGAGTCTAGGGATTTTCATTATGTCAGAAAAAAGTCACGATAAAAGCAAAGAGGAACAGAATTAACTCTTTTAAAAAGTATAACCAAAATTACTGTAAAGAAAACTACTACTTAATTAATATTTCTCTTTATTCATTACTTATTTGCATATAGCTAGAAACTAAAACAAAATGGATAATGTAAGGAAGCTAAAAAGAATACATTATTCCCCTTTTTTTGGTACTCATAATATGAACGTTTCCGTTGCGATTAGTATTAAAGTTTGAAAGCACTTTTAAATTTCTACCAAAAGCGGTGATTGGCCGTCTCATTCCGGTATACTCCTATTTTGACCAATCAGATTCCTTGTTATAGGGTGAGTGCACAGAGGTGAGGAGCAGTGCTTCATTCCTCTTCGAAACTTTGACCGTTTTGCACGTGTCTGCAACAGGTGAGATTAAATGATCTTCAAATATTAAAATAAACTGTCTTTCGGGTGTTAGAAGTACAAAAAACAGAGAGAATAGTCGGGGGGAAGTCTAGATTTCTGATTTTTGACATTAATTTGTCGTTACCTTTAAAAATACGTGTGCTGGCAATTTTTGTTCTTGCTGCGAATTCACAATGAGATTCGTACAGCAGAATCTGAATTACTTGCCCTTATATCAATAATTTCTGAAACAAAATTGCATTTGTTTCATGTTTTTGATACATTTTTCCCATAATTTATTGTTACAAATTGTGACAATTGGTTTTCTCGTTTTGAACTATTCTACCGATACATATACGAATTAAAATAATATTTTTATCATTTATTCTGTTTTTATGATGATAATTTATTAAATACCACCAATATTTTATGCTTTTTGTACTTTCTTTTGTATATTTTAGTGCTTCAAGTTGAAAAATGTAATGTTGAATTCATTTCAATATGGCGTCGATAATTTTCGATGAACCTTTCCTTTATTTTAATATTGAAGTTTCGAAGCAATTTGAAGTTTCTACCAATGACTGTGATTGGTCGTCCTATTCCAACGTTCTTCCATTTCGACCAATCAGAGACGTTGTTTAGAGGGTGAACACGCCGGTGTGGCGTCGTGCTTCATTCTTCTTCGAAGCTTCGTCTGTTGTGCACGTGTCTACAACAAGTATCATTAAATTGTCTTAATTATAAAATAAAATTGTGTTTCGGGTGTTAGAAGTGCCAAAACCAGAAAGAATAGCCAAAGAAAAGTCTAGATTTCCGGCGTTTTCTTTAAATACACGTGAGTTGAAATTTGTTGCTCCTGTCATGAACTGACAATGAGATTGGTACAGCAGAATCTGAATGATTTTCCTTTTATATCAATTCTTTTTGCAATGTTATTACATTTTTTATGTTTTCAATACATTGTTTCTATAATTTATTGTTGTAAACTGTGCTAATAGATTTTCCCATTTCTGACTATTCTGCCGATATAGATATGAGTTAAAATAGTATTTTTTCCTTTTATTCTGCTTTTATATCGATAATTTCTTAAGTATCAATAATATCTTATGTTTTTTTCTACTATTTTTCCTATGTTTTGGTGCTTTAAGTTGAGAAAAGTGATCTTCACTTCATTTCAATATGGCGTCGATAATCTTCAATACTTTTTCGCGGGAAATTCAAATATCTTACTTATTCCACTCATTGTTCAAACTTCCGTATTTGTTAATTATCGTATTATCTCTATTCAAAATCAACTTTTATACAGTGATTAACGTGTTTAATAACATAATATTCATGGAAATTTGATTAATATTAAAGAATTAAAAAAAATTTTTTCAAAAATGTATGTTTTGAAAATAAGTAGATTTTTTGAAATACTGATTAGCTGAATATACATGATGTATTACTGAGGTATGTATTTGAAAAAATGTGTAACTTTTTGTTACAGTATTACATTCGAATAAAGAATAAAACATTACAAGCATGATATGGAACTATTAAATGAATCTTCGTCAAAATAAACGTAAGTTTTATTATTAAGTAGTTATGGTAATTTATTATGGTAAATTTAAAATATCACCAATGTAATATTATCGTTTGATTAATTACAGAATGATGTCAACACTCCACATTGATCTACTGAGGAGACCATCCGCCGGGTGCTTTCTTTCAATTATGTCTTTCAATAGCTGTTCACCAGTTCGGTAAGTCCCAAAAATTAAAAATTTGACATGTATCGCGGCCGGGAACTGATAAGGCTTACGTGGTTTATTCGCGAATTTCAATGATGAACGAATTGAATTAGCGTAAATTATTGTTGTAACTATTGAAATTTATTATTTTCATCACTTTTACGCGTGGATGTCTTCTATAATTTTGTCCAATTACTATTATTACAATTTATTTCTTCACTTTTTGGTCGATAAAGTAGTTGCCCTATGCATGCTTTTGCGAGGTGTAGTAAAGAGGAATTGGTAAGATAGGGACCCTCAAAATCATTACCCTTGAAAAATAAAAGCATGTCTAGTCTTTTAGCAAATTAGAAAGTTATTATACTGATTGTATAATGATCATGAAACATTTCCCGGCTGTTAGAATGGTTTAAAAACCTCGTATTTTTCAGTAAATAGCAATTTTCGGTTCTGTTATCTTTTCTCCCCACTGTTAGATGGTGCTAGGAACACCGTTTCTAATAGCACGCGGTAATTCCCCATTCAAATTATATGTACGAACCATTTAAACATTATTTTATCTTTTATTATACAAACAAATTCATCAAATCCTTTGAAAGAATAATATATCACGTTTCAGTTCGTTCATACCACTTCATTTTTTAAGAAAGATTTCAAACGTCGTTTTGTTTCGTTTTCTGCCACATCTTGCCGTATCTGAGAGAAAATATTAAAAGATGTTCTGAATGAACAGTACTTAATTATGTTTGTTATATCATAAGAAGTTTAACATGGTACTATATATAGAATTAAAATAAGAGAAAACTATATGTAATTGCAAACCTTAGCAAGAAGGGGACCAGTCAATTTATCGGGGACTGCATCATTATTTTCAATTTCTTCTTGCTCGCGTGTCACGTTTGTTTTCGAATATACTGTTCCCCGCGTCAAGAATTTAATGCAATCACGCGAGAGGGCCGGTGCAATTAACGCCGCGAGTGGAACACTTTCATTAATTAAACCTGCGTAACAATCGCGCACGAATTGATAAATTGAGAAAACCGTAATTCAAGAATTAATTGAAGACAATCGAACCTTGATTGTTAATTTTTCTGCTCTTAAGAGAGGCACACATTTGTCCCACTAGAATTCTTTGCGGGTTCGTCATTCTTCGCAATATTACATGATCTGCGTCTGAATGCCCATGATCCCGGGCAGTTTTCCAAGTCTGCAACCACGTGGAATAGAAAAAATATTCCTTATCAGATCTTTCCCCTTTGAATATTTCAAACTTTCAAATGCATTCGTGTCGATGCAATAACATTACATCCTTTTATCCTTCTTCCTTTTTAATATAAAACCTACTTTGAAATTCGAAGTGCGTCTGGACAGAATACTTCCTGAAATTCTCGATCTGGATTTCTCGATGCCTTTTATCTTGGAGTTTTTCCTCCAGCTCTGTCTATTCTGTGTTTCCGAAGTTTCCACAACGTTATCTTCTCGTAATCTATTTGCAATGCAATTCTCGCCTTCAGAAAGAAACGATCTTATGTATTAGAGCATTATTACCCATGGTATAAATTAGCATCTAATACATTCTTCTATCAGTTTCCTTACCGGAATTCTGTTTCACTCGATGCTTCAATGAATCATGCTTTTTATTAGAAATTTTCTGAAGGTTTGTACATTTTTTTCTTGAGCAATTTTTATTTTCACTCGTACTGGAAAAGTATTCGTCTTGTTCGAAAAACATTATTGATCTGCAAGATTGAAAACAAGATAGGTATAGGAACGATTAAAAATAAATTACTAATTTTCACGCGAAACCAATAATATAATTATTACGAGAAGGTTTCTGCATTCTCCTTTCCAACCGTTCTTTCATTTGGAGCAGAAGCATCTTCTCTTGGATTCCTGTTGATCCGAGTCGTTTTTTTCGTGTCGTCAAATATGTTATTTCGTATCTCGGCGATCAAGGAATCGAACGGTGGAATCGACGGTATTTCCAGGGTCAAAGCTATTATTTCCTTCTTTAGAATTCCTTCGAAACGAAAATCTATTTCATTCGCCACGGTCGCGGCTGAAACGACGAAGCTCTCCGGCGAGGATACTAGCGACTGACCTAACAACGACTGTGCAAATTTCAATATCTCCGAACGCATCAACATTTTTCTTATTTTTTCCGTATCCTTTGCCATTTCAATTATCCTCCTCGATTTTTCTGGGTTCACCCTCTCAAGGACCTCGATCACAGTCTGCACCAATGCCTGCAGCTGATAATTCACAAGAATCGGCACAATCTTGTAATCTTTGTCACTAAATTCCATCGATTGTACTGGTGCATTTAGATAAATACACTTTCTCAATGATTTCGTTAAGTCTAGATTGCAAGAAATAACAGAATTCGACGACGGACGACTGTCGAACATACTATGGAACGTAGATTTGATGCTCGGAGTTTTGGACGGTCCCTTGGTGAAACTAGATTTTATAGTAATAAGATCTTTGGTTGAGGCATCGAAGTTCTTTCTTCGTTTTGATTTCAACATTGTAATACCGTGATCGAGCTTGAACGAGCCAATCCCGGATTTCCTGGACGGACTTCTGATCGATCTCGTGATCCAATTTCTATTGGACATATTTGTCGTTACTCTGCTTGCAAGATCATCCTCGTCGTCGTCTAGATGGAAGGACAGACTGTTCTCGTCCAATCCATTTAGCTCCATGTTGCAACGATTAAATTTTTTTCTTGCCACACCTTCGGCAAGTGCTTGCTTGATTCTCAACTCGTGAGAAGCACCCAACAACGAGTAAACATGAGGTGCTACCGATGTTTTTTCAAGAGTACGTATCGTTATTCTAGTAGTTGGTTTACCACCCCCGGAATCAGCATTATCCTCCACGTACTGTTTATACTTTTCCTCAAACTCGCGGATGGTTTGCTCCTCCAAACACTGTTTCGTTGGATTCTCATGGAGTTTCATATCCTTTGAGTCTTCCTGAAGATCCACCACGTAACATGGTAGAACGTTGTTCCAAGCGCCAGAGAAATGTTTATTCTTAGCTTAAAACAATGATAGAGTTGTTTATTATTGTTTACAAAGACCCTCTTGTTTATGTACCTTTCTCTAATAGTGATGCTACAGGTTTAATTGCGGAGGAATCGTTGTTGTTATACTTTACACTGTGGGCAGTGAACAGATGGAGGCAAAGGAGTTTGTCAGTATCTACTTCGTCTTTGGTGAACACTATGGAGCGTACGAACTCGTAGGAATCTTTCGTTGTTTGCTGCTTGATAGGTCGACCGACTTGTTTGATCGCGCCAGTGCAATGATAGCAAAATCCAGGGTTATGGGTTTCGTACATGCGCACGTCAATAGCCTGCAGTCAATTACTGTGTTGGCAATTAATAGATCGGGAGATTAGACGGGGAAGCCGCGTTAGAGACGAAACGAAAATGATTTCAGCGATCTTACGTTCGATCCACCTGATTGTTCAGAGATTTTTAGATTCCTCCGTCGTGTACGAAACCGATGCCTCACAGTCTCGATCATTCTCAAGTCCGACTTTTCTACCTTCTCCAGTATCTCAAGTTCTTGTTCAAGCCTTTGACGGCTAATCTCGTTCTGCTTAACAAGCCTATCCTGCACCGTCGAGTTGGATTTCATGGTTGTCGGTGCTTATTACTCTTCGCGGTTCTTATCAAATTTTGTCGAACAACAAATTAGATTTCCAGCGGTAATACATTAATCGCGATTAGGACGGTTTTCAATTTCATACGCGATCATTTTGGAAAACGTAAGAATCTTAACCAAAATTCGTTATATTTTTTTTTTTATTTCAACAGCTCTCGATCTTCATTTCAGAGCACACTGTAATTCGTGCAGAATTCGTAACGATAAAAGGATAAAAATTCGGTTAACCGCGAATTGTACGGTGTCTGTTACATAACGAAATTAAAATACTTGGCACGACTTGCCCAGAAATGAACTTTTGTAACAGGCTTTCGTTATTTATAGGCTAAAGAATTTATTTACCGAGAGCGAACATAGTGACGATGACTTTGCGTCGTTGGAGCGGTTACGGTCTCGACATAACAAGTGCAAATACATACTAATCATGCCAATTGCAACCGATTGCTTTTATACCTATTCGATATCATCAAACATCCGTGTCAGAAGAACACAACAGCTTCCGTGTATTCGAAAACTGTTATGTTCCTGAACGAAAGGGGCTTTGTATCGTATATATAAATCGATTTGTCCTCCCAGGCATTGATTGACACGGTTCATAAATAATACAGGAGGGGAATAAGTGTCGTAATCTATCTGCGCACAATCGATCGTTAACACAGGCTTTCAAGAGAATTACTGACTTTCGAAAATTTCACTGCTCTCTTATCTAGATCCAGTGAGCCTAATTAAAAGAAACTATGTCGTATACATTGTATGGAATTTGAAGTTTCGTTAACGCTTGAATTAGTCGGCAATTATGGTAACGTTCGCGCACAGGATATTTTCGATTAAGAAATCGAATGAGATAATCGAAGAGAAAAACGCGGGAAGGTGCGAAACTGTAATTGGTGGAACGGTTTAGCGCCACGTAATACGGCGTCGCTGATTGGTCGGACGGTCGGTTAGATTAATCGAATTTGATCGCGTCAGTGTATCCTCGTCCAGGAAGGGTGCAAGTTGAGTCTGATTCTCGGAACGCGCGTTTTGTTTACGTAAAGTTTCGTAAACATTCGAAGAAAACAAGATATGTAGCGAGGAAGAGGCGCGCTGTAGCGGTTATTGGAAGGCCGGCAGTGTGACGGGTCGCGTGGTAGGAGGTTGCTGCGATTCAATTTCAGTCGAAGCGCGCCAGGCAAACGGAGCGCCAGCAAGAACCGGCTGCTCTCTTTTCTGCACCTCGTGCCTCGTTTTTCGATCCATCCTCGAATCTGTTCGTGCACGTTCGTGCGTCTTCGTTCAACCGTGCGTCGGTGAGACTAGGATGCGTTGGGCTGCCAGACGGAACTCGAATCGGTAACGTGTGTGTGCGCGCCACCGGGCCTCCAGCATCCGATCTATAGTGTTTACGTTGTATGTACGTGTAACCCAGTGTGGACAACCGTTGCTCCGAGAACCAGTACCTCTCCTCTACTCGAATGCATACGAAAAGCATCGTGTCTACGACCTAGTTTCTCCGATGATTCGTCGCGAGTGACAAATCCCGTAGCCTGATCTTTGACTCGAACCGAATCGAATCGAATCCGTGACATTCGTTAACGACTTTCGAACGTGTCGTTCGGTGCAGCATCGTGGCGTACGATTTCGCATCGACGGTAGTTGCCAGCTGAATTTTTCGAAAACAAACGCGAACAAGGAAAGTAGCGATGACGAGTTAAGAACGATGCGTGTACCGATTGTGAAAGGATACGGAACGAGCTTGGACATGAACAATCCACGGGATCGTCTCTGGCTCGTGTAGTTTTCAATCGTGGCTGTCGTGAATAGACGCGATATGATCGAGTAATTTTGTGAACACGTGACACACAAGCGTTTGCCGCCATGAACGCAAGAGGATAAGGAAAGGATTAGCAGTAGCGCAAAATGGAATTCGGAGGATACAAAGGTACCGGTCCCCGTGTCAGGGTGCGACGACGCGCGGAATTAGGGAGACGGCTCACCAGGAGGCTGTCTCTGGTCGCGAAAATGCCAGCTGCCATTCTCAGCAAAGCGAATCCACCTGAACCAAGGCCGGTTGAGATCACCGCGATCGCTCCTGACAAGACACAGCTCACCGTGAGTAAATTACCTTTTCTCCTCTCACATTTCTCTCTCTCCAATCATTTTTTACCGCCAGGTCGTTTAGCAAGTATCGAAATTACGAATTCCGAACTCGATTCGCACACGCCCCGCACTAACATACCGGTATGTAACATCTCACGGGAGAGTTGGCGAATGCTCGGAAGGTTAGGGTACGTTTCCACGTGTCGGTGAATCGCGACATTTAACGCCGTAGTGCTAAATGTCGTGATTTTTCTCGTCTGAAACTTAAAAGTCGAGTCGTGTCACGACGTTAATGACCGATTACATTCGTAACGCAATGTCAGATTTGATTTTTCGATTTATTTATCTGATCGTATATCTGTATCGTAACATCGTGGAAAAGCTCGAACCTATACAGAATCGGAGCGAAGCGGATTCCAAGGTAGAAATCGAAACTCGGTATAGGGTTCGACGATTAATGTACCAACACGTACAACGTGCACCGGCTACAAGGTGCCGTACATTCTATACAGGAGTAAGAGGCGTTACCTTCGGTATTTAAACGCTCCATAGGAACGTTTCACGTAGTACTAGACTTGTGTTCGTACGTTGCCACGAGTTTGTGTGGGTACCGTGATCTAGCTGACTTTTGTTACCGATCAGCCTTTATTACAGACCGTTTCGCTTAATTATTTCCGAAGGAATTAATGAATGTTTGGATTCCGGTTCGATCGTGTATTTACAACATTCCGAGAGATCGGTTCTACATAACTTTCCTCGTTAAAATACGAGCCGATAAGCTTTTGATTCACAGCTCCGTTTCTTTGAATTATCGTTGTTTATTCAATCTTTTACTTTTTTTTTTACGACGACGCTTCGAATCGTTGAGAAAAGAAATATTCTCAGCTTCCGAATCGCTTCGATTCGATATTCACGCGAGGGTACACGTGCGTATGGTAGACTCGCGAAAGAAAAGTGAAGGCGTTTTGTGCATATGCACCGCGCCGTTCCTTGAACTCTACTCACTCTACACGTAATCGTCGTAAGAAAGAAAGTGCACAACGTGATCGATAGCAGCACTTTCTAGAGGGAACGAAATGCACTTTGGCCTCATTCTGATTTTTACGTAGATCCTCCGCGACCACGTGATCGGTGTTCGTACCGATTTACAGACGTAAGGGCAGATGGGATAGAAAAAATAATATTGTCAAAGTTAAACAACTTTTCTATTTGCTCACTTTAGGACGTAGGTGGAAACGAATGCTACTTATTTCATTCTTCAACATACTTATATCTGTATACGTTTGAGCATACGATCGACATGCATGCCCGATCCAAGCTACCGTGGACTAGATACCGACCGTTTAGACCGGAACGATAATTTTTCAATTTTTATCTATGAACGTATCGCGTGGCTCGTTGCACAAAGTCGTCGCACGTGCACACGTAAGTTGTAGCCAGAGTTGCATCGTGTGGATAACTGTCATTTCGAAGGAGGTTTCGCGCCGTTTACCTATATAAAGAAAACTCTAATTAAATGCTAATGTTGTAGACAAACGTACGGAACGTTGATCGGTCTCGTCTCTTTAACGCGTTTCCACGTGATTTACGATCTAATTGCCGGATAATTTGCAGCCTCGATTCCGTACGGAAGAGATAAATCCTTCTTTTGCGATCTCGTTAAAACGTCGATAACGTTATTTCCTTCCTGAATGTCTCGTTTCGAGCGTTCGAACCTCAACATTTTTTTTCCTATCATTCGAAACCGCGTGCAACACTTGGCTAGTTTGCGACCGCCAATTAAATTATCCTCGTTTTGCGAGATTTCGCGTTCGACACGGTTGTTTCGTTTCAACGGTCACCGGCTCTTTATATAAGAACGTGGCATAACGTTTGGAAAATCCTTTCGAAGGGAAACACTCGGTGTCGACTCGTTGCTCGATAGTAAAATGGTTTTAGAACCGCGTTCGTAAATTCTACTGTAATCTTTGAAATTGCTCGGAAACTGTAGCGGATATCTTGAAATATTGCCGCGTCGAATGGCTCTGCTTTTTTCCCTTCAAATCGTTAATTGCATCTGGAACTGCATCGTCGTTTACATAAATACCGAATCAAGATACAAATAAGATGTAACGAATCGTCGATGTTTCACGTTACATGCGAGCAACGTATTTAAAATGTACACGGTGTTAGGTAAATTGTGCGTTATGAATAAAAATATGATAAAATCGTTTGTTTAAAATTCGAATGCTTTTTGACTCAATTAATGTGACACGTGAACGCTGCTTAAAGGTCATTGTCACGCATCTCTAGAAATTCACTTTCGACCTCGAGTATCGAACCTCTATAATTAAATGGAGAAAGTGGTGACGCTCGATCGGCCGTCCTCGTGTTTAGCATAAGATTGTTCAACAACACTCGCTAAAACGCACGCAAAGTTATCCGGCGTTGTAATAATCCTCTCAGGAACATCGGGAAATTTTATTTCTGCGAAAGTCCTCGATCTGACTTCCGTATCGCTTGAAAATGCTTACGAAAAGTAAAAGTTAAAAAAAAAAGAAAAAAAAATGAAATTCATCGCGCCGTATTTCCGCGAACGTGGAAATTCACGGAACAATGGTTAATTAATTGGAACGATGTGAAATTGAGTAGCGTCAAAGTCAATGCCTGGTGAAAGATAGATTTGTTGCGAGTGAATGAAAGCGATGTTGAAATTAGATTCGAATCGCTATTCATCTCGTTCGATTAACCATCTATCCCGACGATGTATCAATTCCATCTTCGTTTCGTCGCGCACCTATCAATTATCCTCTCTATAGATTTCCATACTCGTTCGCTTCGCAGACTGGTATGAGTCAACGTCAATCAGAAACAAAGAACACTGGCATAGAATATCGTTCTGCGGTGGCAGAAATGCCTGCTATTTCTCCTGCCGAATGTAATTTCCGGCATGCTTATTGAACTGACCCATTTCCGTGGACATGCAACTTCTAGCATGCTTGATTTGATTACAGCGAATGCATTAGGGATATTGTAAGGATTTACTTTGGAATTGTACGAACAGAAAGTAAAACAGTTTTCGTTCGTAGCTATTACAGGAAAATTAGTGAAATTCAGAGGAAACGAAGTTTCGTTCGTATAGATAGGTACCATAGAATTCCGTAAGTCTAGTCCGTAGCAAATTGACTAATGTACGAGGCTAATGATCACGGTGTCGTAATTAACTGGACACGAGTGGATTCATTCGTGAGATTGCGAATTTTAGATCTCATTCTGCTCTGATTGTTAGAGTCACGCGGCTGTACTCTCGCTAATAATGTGACAGTAGGAACGCAGCCACAGTAAACAGTCCACTATTTTATCACGGTCGACCGCGACCGAGAACAGAACACGTGTGTCTACTAGAAAAAATAATGTTCGACCAACCGACGATCTGTCGTTGAGATGAAACTTCTA